AGGGCGCAGGAGAAACCACCGGCGGCGCCGAGCTCGTTAACAGCCTCACCCACCATCCACCGGCCGGCCCACCGACGGCGCGCACCGCCCAACTCCCGGCGCGCACCGCGGCCCCTCTGGGGCGTACCAAGAGGCGGAAGGCGGCGGGGGGAGCCGCCACGCCTCGCTCAGACAGTTGCTGTGAGGGGGAAGGGGAGATACTCGGCTGCTCGGGCGGGATCGGCCAGAAGAAGAGACCAACGTGTTTTATAGTGTAAAATGGTTTATATAGTGGCAGCATCGCTTCAGAGTTAGGTATTCAGTGAGTAATAAAGAAAAAAAATTTATTTAAACAGCTCAAAGGTCCGTTTTCCTGGCAGCTGCTCTGTCCAGGAGCGTCTGCGTGAGGAACCTCCACTTTCATCTTGACAGGGATCACCTGCCCGAGGCACCTCTGTTACCTTGAGGAGATCTTTAACAGTCTCCGAGACGCCTTGCAGTCACGGATTTCTGTCTAACTGGTGCGTAAGGTCACCGTCAAACCGAGTAGTGGCCTGTGGCCTGCTGCCTGTGGCATAACTTGCACGGCGAACTTTAAATACCTGCATTTGAAATTATGGGTTACACGGTTTAACTGGGGGGGAGGCTTAGGCATCATACCTGGAGAAGATTTCCGAGAATTTCCCCAGCTTAAGACAGCTTCACATACAGAGCATGTACATCTAGTAGTTACTGTACTGTTGTTCTTGTTGAACACAAATCAGAAATGAACATAAATTTGAAAGGCAAAGTGTATTACAATGAGCTTTTTACTGTTTCCTTTGATTAAAAAAAAATCGTCCTTAATTAAAATACTATGTAGGCATAGCAAAATAAAGCCTCAAACTGGGAGTTAAAACTGACTTTGATTCCTGGCTTTGTCACTCGCTGTCGTGAACTTCCAAGTTTTCTCATCAGTGGAGCAGAAACAGTCCTTAGTGCCTTAACACAGTGCCATGGATCCTCAAACAAAAACATGCTTCTGTAAGATTAGCATTAAAGTATAATATATTTATTATTATTATTAATTTTCCTCTTTAAAAAGCCAAATACAAATCAAAATTACTTACTGTATATTGTTTAAAAATTCACTTTAAATATGCTAGCATCCCCTTTGACTCTTGCTTGAGAAGACCTGCAACCCGATTTAATTTCCTGCCCTCAGCCAGCTTCCTGTGACTTCAGGGCAGCTAAGCTTTACAAACAGAAGTTCATAAAACGTGTTTGTTTGTTTGTTTGCTTGTTTTTAAATTCATCAGACCATCAACCCACTCACTCTTGCAGCCCACCCTTGCCACTTCTGGAAGTTACTCCCCTTTCTCTGCCCCACCCAGAGTCACAGAAGACAAAATGATATGGACAAAACCATAACAGAGTCAGAGGTAAAAATAAGAATTTTAATTCAGAGCAATTAGTGTATTTACAATAGAAAGTTTTTCTCTGGTCAAGGGACAAGAGACTAAAAAAATCCACATAACAAGAGTGTGCACTGCCTGCACCTGATGCAGGCTAATTAATTTTTGCTACTTTTGCTTCATCCATGGGCAATACCCATGAGAAAGTGACAGTGAGAACCTGGAGATGGTACCGAATGCCTCTTACACCCAAGTAGCAATCACAGAATGCCGTCCAAGAAGTAGTGTGAAGTTATTTACCAGTTGCTAAAATACATATATATATGTACATACAACAGTCCCATTTGCGGTTAGATCAGATTCAGCGGATCATTCAGAGATAGATAAGCAGGTAGACACAAGCTTACCAACCTGCGTGCAAGCACAGATTTGCAGAGGCACTCACGCTACCAGGTACATAGGTACCTTCTCACCCAGACAGACACATGCACTCCGTTCGCCTCTGCACTTGGACAAACACACAGGCAGCTGGTTTTTTTAATGCTATTTTACATGGTTTCTAGGTACAGGAAAAAAAAATTGAGTTAAAAAGCACCAACCCTCTCATCTGACTCACTGGCTTGGGATTCTTATTCCTCTGGAACCTGAGGGAAATGGGGCTGTAGAAAGGATCACGTCCTCCCATTTCTCCAAGCCACTACTTCCGAATTTCTGTGACTCTACCGTGCCACAGCGATAGCTAGTTAATACCGAAAGGGGGCAATCCTCTCCCGCTTCCAGAAATAGTCCTCCCACCACTTCCCTTGAGTCAGATGCAGCAATCAAAGGGCTGCAATGTGAGCCAATTCAACCGTCTGATCTCGCAGAAAAATAGATCTGCAAAAAGTGAGCGTGTACTTTACCATCTGAACAGCCAGCTTAACCAAGCCACCCTACAAGTTCACCCACCCCATGGTGGGTGGAGCACCTGTTGCAGCAACAACTTGTCTGTACGGTAGCTGATCTATCAAGTCACTCTGAGCTCCTGTTCTTATCTTGGTCAGTCCACACAACCACTTCCTTTATAAGGTGCTTTCCCTCCTTGGGAATGGAGTCGTTGCAGAGATCTGTCTTGGCTTGAACTACATGGTGGTTGAGAAACAAACCTCAGCCTTCCTCCAGCATCATCTGCTGCTGTCTCCAACAAACCCAGTTAAGGAGGGTTAGAAAGACAGGGAGGTATGGGAAAAGGAAGACAGAAAAGGAAGAGAGTTATGATCCTCTTCTAACAGTCACAGCAAGGGCAGCTAAAGCAGAACGAGATTAAAGGTGGCTGTGGAGGCTGCAAGGTTGAGGACAGTTCTGGTTCAGCAAAGCCTCCTGAATAGCTTCACTGCAGCCACTCAGCTCCATCTGGTTGAGAACATAGCTGATGTGCTCCACCGTTGCAGCATGGCCCATCTGCAGTTTCCACAGTCTAAGCATTTCATACTGGGCGTCCCGTAGACGCCGATGCTCCATCTCAATTCGCTCTAGATCGTAGTCACTCAGACCCAGACGCCTCACAAACTCTTTCCAACGAGATGGTGGTACGTAATCTACCACAGTGTAAAGAATAGCAGGGTCTGTGAAAAAAAAAAAAAAAAACAAAATAAAAATAAAGAGTGACAACCAGGACTGTGCAGCCTCAAGGAGACTGTGAATAATCCAGGGCTGGATGGTGCAGTGAGATCATGCATTGCTCCCTCCTGTTCAGGTCATCTACAGAACAGTCACACAAGACTCATATAGTGTCCAGACTTGCCCTTATCCCTCAAAAAGCAATGGGAACCCTTCCACATGCTCTCACATAAGGTTATGAGCAGAGCTGAGCACACACGTTTAGGGCCTTGCTGCCCCACATTCCTACCAAAAGAATGCTCTGGGTCACCATCCCAGAGGCATTAACACTGACAGCATGTCACCACATATGACAATCAATTTTGCTGGTAGGGAAAAGGAACAACAGAAAGGCCATTTATGTTAAACATAAATGTTTCCACATATACAGGCTCTGGGAATGCTTCTGCCTTTGTACTGTGCCATACATGAAGTATACACACAGGTCACGTACACCAAGTAAGGTCTGTGCAACATCCTCCTAGCGGCATCTGTGTAATCAGGTTCTC